GAAAAAGAGTATAAATCTTAGAAAGAAAGAGATAAAAATTATTCTTAACATAGATTAAATGATCTATCTAAAGAAATAAAGAAAATCTACTAAACTAAGATCTGAGAGGAAGGGAAAGGGAGAGAGAAATATAAAGAGAAAGGGCAGAAGAGAGTGTTGACTAGCACCAGACTCAGTAAATTAGAAGAAATACATGCAAAAATATGATTTCTTTTTTCTACATCAGTAACAACCAATGAAAAATGTTATAGAAAAAGTTTATATCGCTTAGTCAAGCAAGAAAAGCAACATAAATCCAGAGTAAACGTAATAATGTGCAAGATTCATAGAAAAGACAAAGACAATCCTAGAAAATTTACCAATAAACTCACTGGAGTAAAATTTTGCTTTTGGGCAAGAAAAAGAACTTTAAGACTATAAATTATTTCCAGATGAATCTAGAATTCAATGCAATTTTTATGACAATCTCCAACACATTTTTTTTCTTCTTTCTTTGATGGCAGAATCTGAGAACTAAATGTAAGGTTCACCAGGGAGATTGACCTGGAAGGTAGTGTCTCAGAAAAATTTAAAAATTAAGCATTATTTACCCTTGTTCTGTCCAGCATCACAGACACAATATAATTATAGTCATTAAGGTATTTTGATTTTGGTGCTGGAATAGATTAACAGAGCACATAGCAAAGGGTATATATAAGAATATACATGAATTAAGGAACTATGATCGTGACCTTTTTGAGCAGCAGCATAAGAATTAGAATAAGGGCTCACTAAGTAATAGAAATAAAGGCAGATCTTTACTTCACACGCAATATTCAGAAAAATTATATATGTGAATTCTTAAATAAACCAATAAATCTATAAAAAAAGAAAGAACAAAATGACCAATGGAAAATACGATCCCATATAACATTTACAACAACCCTTGGAGTTAGGTACTATTGTCATACCCATTGTACAGATGCGAAAACTGAGGCCTAGTAGATGTGATTGCCAAAGGATGTCAGCAAATAATGGCCTCATTGTGGCTGATTCCAGGCTGTATAGTTGTGAGTCTGCCCTCAGAATGACTGTTGTTAGTTACTGTGGAGTTGACTCTGTTCCATGGTGACCTTGTGTATGGAATGTCCGGTGTCATCTTCTTGATCATTGACTATGTTTGAGCCCAGCATTGTGACTGTTATGCCAACTCATTTCATTAAGAATTTCTCTGTTTCCATTGACCACAATACTCAACCAAACATGACGGTTTGGTTTTGTTTTTTTTTAACAAATGTTTGGTAACTAGGCTCTTCCTTTCTACAGTGAGTACCAGTATAATGGAAACAACACAACAACACGAATAGAGTGAAAAGAGAACAAAAACTGGGCCAAAGTCTTCCCTCGGATCAAGAATTTGCTAAAAAGCTCTTATTAATCAGTAAAATGTGAACATTAGGAGCTTAGGTGAGATCTCAATCGGAAAAATCACAATAAAACTCCAAATGGTTAGTAATCATTGAAAATGTTTACTGCTCTAAAACTCAAAGAATATACAAAGTTCTAGTTTATCTATGAAATTAGCAAAATAAGAGAATGAAAAGGGACTTTGATTCATTTTGGAGAAAAGCAAATTTCATTTGTCCTCTGAGAAGTGAGGGGTGGGCCAGTGAGCTGACAGCATTCCTTTGAACCAGGTCTGACAATTAGCCTAATGCTTTCCCCTTTGATCCACAGCTACTCTCCTAGGAGCAGGGCCCCTCAGAGCTCTGGCATCTCACATCTACTCATTACACTATGCACAGTCCTTGTGGCTGATCCTGGGGTCTGGGTGGGGCATTCGTGTATTTAGAGTGTAGAGATACAGTTACTTGGAAAACTACTGGTTATAATGTGGCTCACTCCCAACCTGAAATGTGAAGGTAGGCACCAGATCCCCCTTCTTTCTCCCTGGACTCCTACTCGGTTCTCTTCGGCTTTGAGAAATAGGAGAGCCAGCTTGGTTTAGTAAAATGTGTGCATGTGCTTAAAATGTGAATCAGCTACCTGTGTTTTCCTTAAGATAATCACGAGCTACATTTTGTGCTTGTGAAAATGCCCTGTGTACCCAGAAACTCCAGTAGTCCTGTGAGGTAAGGCGGGTGGGCCTGTTTAGACCACCTCCCTCTTCATATAGGTCCCACCCTGGAGTAGGGAAATCTATGTGCCTCTAGATCAGCCTAGGAACCTCTAGGCATTTTTCACCTAGGTATCGTGCCCAACGTCTGCCCAGATGCCCTCAGCTCTCACAAGCCCCCATGAATCCAAGGTGGGATCCCTTTCTGTTGCTGAATTGCTGTGCAATGTCTGGGCAGGAATGAACACTGCTCAAGCAACTGAACGCTGCTGAGCCACCCTGACTCCACATTTCCTCTTCTTTGTGGTATAAGGTGCTGGATACTCCCTTTCCTGTGGTCACCAAGCAGCACTTCTCAGTGTTTCCACTGTAGACAACCCTAACTACTGCCTGCAACCTGCTTGCCTTTCCAGAGACTGTCATTCTACTCTAGGAAGAATGGGGTTAGCATCAAAGTCGCCCCGAGGAACCAGCATCTCTAGTTCATACAGCTGAGGGTGCTCAGTAGAAATGACACATTTTGATCTCCTGGTTCTCCCCAATGCCCAGATGTAGTGTTTTGGGTTTTGTTTGTTTATTTGTTGTTTGTGAAGCCAGATGAAAACGATGCTTTTAAAAAACAAAAAGTAAGATGGCTGCAATACCAAAACTGTTATCGGAAGTAAAAAAAAAAAAAGTAAATTGTGTGTCTCCAAACCTCCTTCTTGTGTATTCTCTTAAGATCAATTGATCTTTTCCTAAAGGACATTCAGGAAGCTCTGGTGGCTTAATGGTAAGGAGTTACACTGCCAACCCAAAGGCTCAAAGTTCAAATTCAACTAGGATAAAGATGGTACTCTCCTCCTGTTTGATTGGAAAACCCACTGGAGGGTCAGCTGAGTTAGTTCCTACTCAACACAGCAACAATGACAAAAAAAAGACACTCAGGGAGGTGTGATGTCTGGTCCCTGGGGTGCGGGTGGGTGAGTACCACTTTCCTCTTGCATAGGGTCAAGGTGTTCCCCAGGTGAGCACTTGTCACCGAGCTTGCAAGCCTGAGGGCTCCATACCCCTATTTTGACTTGTGCTGCTGTTACAGTGGTAGCAAGAGGTAGTCTTACACAACCAGTGAGTGCCGGGGCCTGAAACATTGCTTCTGCCCCATGGGGAGTCCAAGACTAGCTAGATCCCCTTGTCACTCAGGATCTCCACTTCCAATTTTCCCCTGAGCCGACACTATTCAGTGAGGGGTTACCCGGTGATTCTCACCCATCTTAGGAGGGATGGTGGGTGGTGAGCTCTTTTTGACTCTCTAGGTGAGTATGTGAGGGGTGACCCATTAGCCCTCTCACATTGTCGTAAGAGTGCCAAGAAGGCCAGTCTAGGGTCTCGGTCTAGCCTGGTCACTCCATCCATGGCCAGCACAAGTTAAAAGATTGCCAACCTCATTTCAAGATAAAAGTGAATTGACTAGGCTCTCCAATTCTCAGAAGAAGCTGAAGATATGTTAGAGATAAAGAAATAACCAGGCCTGTGGCAGCACATGTGGAGCCCTGTCAAGGACATCTGGCAGCTGTGGAGAGGTGCCCAGGCCTCCAGGGGTCTCCAGGGGTGTAAAAACTGACAGAACTGTGGATTCTTAGAACTGTGCCCAAGAACAGTTAACTCAGAGTACAGGTCCCCACCGCCTGGCCTGGATACCAACCAGGAAACTGCAAGAGTGAGCAAATAGCTTCAACGTGGGGTTGTCCTGGCGGGTATGGCCCACTGAGGCCCTAGAGGAGGGGAGTGGGTCGTCATCACAGAGTGCCATATCCTGCCTGCAATTGGGCCTTCCCCTGGAGAGCCCTCCTGGGTTCCCCTGGCCACTTCCAGTGGATCTTCACAGTGGAGATCGTAAAGTCGAAAAGGCGGCGTACATTCACACCCAGGACTCTGACACTGGTCCCCGACGGCAGCGCGCCCTGATCTCTTCCCAGGGCCGGTTCCCTCCCGCGGCCCCAGGGGGCTTACCTGATCAGAACGCCGCGGCTGGACGCCCTCGAAGGACGCGTCCCAAGGAGAGTCCGAGTGAGTCCTGGGCTGAGACTCAGAGGAGCGGGCCTAAGGGAGGGGACCGCGGGCGGGGCCGCCCACTTTGTAACTACCCCCCCCCCTTTGCCTCGGGCGCGCCCAGGACAGTTAGACCACCGGGCGGCGCTGCGGACCCGCAGATGGGTCGGTCAGGGCGGGGGGCAGCGGGAGGGGAAGGGGGCTGGGAAGGACTGAAGGGAGGGAGGGAGGAGGTGAGGGCGGACGGGCGGGGGCCGCGGGCCCAGCCAAGCTGCCGCAGTGGGGAGACTATGGGGGGCGAGGCAATGATGCGGGAGGAGGGGCACGGGAGAGAGACGGGGCGGGATACAGAGTGCGGTGGTGGTGGGGTGATCAAGGAGGGAGAAGGGCTGGGGGAACAGTTCTGGATGACGGGAGAGGGAGGGACACTGTGGAGAGGGGAGCTGTGTGGCCCCGAGGAGACGGGGGCGGGGCAGGGGCTGCCACCTCTCTGCGAAAAATAGTTCTAGGCGAAGTCAGACATCTCCTGCTCGCTTCGCGCGCAGCGCGCACATTTCTCTACCCGCGCGCCCCACGTCTGCTGGCTTATGGTCCCGACTTCTCTCCCCATAGGGCGCTGTCTGCCTCCGGCCCTGCTCGGTTTCTCCGAGGTTGTGGTCATGTCTGCCTCTGAAATGGTACCCCTCCGTCTGGGCTACCTCCCCACCTAGTCAAAGCACAGCCATGGCCGGCTGGCTCAGGTGATGTAAGTAAGAGGCTGCAGGAAGCTAATGTCAGGACCCATAAAAACTGAGACACTCCCACCCCCACCCTCCATCCTGGGTTCTCACCTTTTTTCTATTTCTTAAGACTAAGTTCCGCCCCTTCCGTGGCCATGCATAGTCAGAACAAGTGTCTGCATCCTGGGCTCCTGCATGTCGCCACGCTGTGGGACTCCCTGGGCCATAAGATCGCCCCTCGACCCCCCATGATACTGTTTGTTGTGGATCCACACACCGTATTCCTTTTCCAACCTCACAGTACAGCTTAATTTTGGCTTCACCTACAGAGATCCAGTCTGTACTGCGGCAGGAGGTGGTTGCGCTCAGAGGCCAGAGGTGAAAGAGTCATCTGGGAAGGGATTGTTGTTGTTGCTGTTATGTGGAGTTGCTTGCGACTCATAGCGACCCTATGTACAACAGCCCGAAACTCTGCTCTGTCCTGTGCCAATCGCACTGTCTCTGACACTCCCATCCCAATTATCCCAGTCACTGAATCAATCCACCTCAT